TGTGTGGGAGGTGCCTGGGAGGTGTGTGGGAGGTGTCCGGGAGGCTGGCCTTGTCGACGGCGGACAGCACCTCCGCCTCCTCCTCGGTCGGCTTGCGGACCTCGACCTGCGGCGGGGCGGGCAAGGTCGGGGAGGGCGGCGGAGCGGGCGGGAGGGCGGGCGGGGGCGGGGCGCTGCGGCGGGCAGTGGCGGGCAGTGGCGGGGAAGGGGACCCCGGCGTGCGCGGGGTTGTGGGCGGAGTCGGCGGGGCGGTCGGTGCGGCGCGGCGGCGTTGGCGCCTCCTTTGGCTTGTCGCCCTTCTTCTCCTTCTTCTCCGTCTTCTTGGCCGCCGCCTTCTCCTCCTTGGCCGCCACCTTCTCGGCCTTCTTCGCCTCCTTCTTCGCCTCCTTCTCCGCCTCCTTGCGCGCCGTCGGCCGCCTCCTTTGTCCGCTTGGGCTCCTTGGCCTCGATGCCGGCCGCGAGGCACTGGGCGCGGTACCGCTCCTTGTCCACCCCCGCCTCCTCCTCCGCCGCCTCCGCCATGGTCACCTCCGCTCCTCCCGACTTTGCCGGATCCGCCGCCACCGCCTCCTCCTTCTCCGCCTCCTCCGCGTCTGGAAACTCCTCCTCCTCCTCCTCCGCCGCCGCCGCCTCCGCATCCGCCTCCGCCTCCGCCTCCGCCTCCTCCCCCTTCGCCCCCTCGCACGCCTTCGCCTCGGCGGCGATCTCCTCCTCGTACCGCGTCAGGTCCGCCGCCGCCTTCTCCTCGAAGGGCGCGCGCTCCTCCTCCGACAGCGCCTCGAAGGCCTGCTCCATCATCTGCACGAGCTCGGCCGGCGCAGCCTCGGGGTTCGCCTCGGCGACGGCGGAGCGCTGCGACTTTTTGTAGAAGAAGACCGCCTGCTTGGCGGCCGCCACCTCCGACGCAGCCTCCTTGGCCTGCAGGGGCGGCGGGCGGGGGAGGTGGGGGGGGTCGTGGTGTGTGTGTGTGGGGGGGGGGGGGGGGCAACCCGGCCCAAGGCCCCCCCTTGGCCTTCTTGGGCTTGGGCTCGGGAACCCCGTCGGCGCCGGCGGCCGCCTCCTTTTTCCGCTTGGGCTCCTTGGCCCCAATGCCGGCCGCGAGGCACTGGGGGGGGTACCGCTCCTTGTCCACCCCCGCCTCCTCCTGCGCCGCCTCCGCCATGGGCACCTCCCCTCCTCCCGATTTTGCCGGATCCGCCGCCACCGCCTCCTCCTTTTCCGCCTCTTCCGGGTTTGGAAACTCCTCCTCCTCTTCCTCCGCGGGGGCCGCCTCAGCCTCCGCATCTTGCTTCGACTCTGCTTCCTCCCCTTTC